ATGACCAAATCAGTGCGAAAGTGCGGCCATTTTGGATTTATGCAAATTAGGCATATTTCCACCACCTGGATTTTTTAAGACTTTTAGTATGTCATTTTAGGGACCTTATAGAAATACACAGTGATGAACAAAATTCTGTTGCAATTTGTTTGAGGTCAAACCTTATATTGCCTGTACTAGTGCCCAGACCAAAATATTCTGACTATTCCTGATGAATCTTATGTCAGGCAGCCTCCGTGGCTAAAAATAAACATGACGACATTGATGGCCCTTTTTCAAAGCTCGGCGTCGTTTCCGATTGAAGACCGAGTTTTGGAAAATCTCAGTAACGGTCGTCAAATTCAAAATTGTACATGACACAGCAAAAAGTTCGCCCATACGATCCGAGTATATTTGATGCCCAAAATCGTCGTTAAATTTCAAGTTTTCTAAATGAAAGCAATGAATATTAATTATCAACTCATTTAAAAAAAAATTAAAAAGCAATCAGCAGTTAATTAAACCAATATTATATTCGGAAATACTCGGGCGCTATCCGATTGTCGACGAAACGAATTCGGCAAACTTCGGAAATTTTCGGAAAAAGGAGGAATTCCTCCCGTTTTAGTCACATGACGTAAATATTGTAATGCAATGTATTACCGGAGGCTACCGGACCTAAGGCTGCATCCGAATCAGCTGTCTAGAGCTAGGTCTGGGTCTACGCCCATTGAAAATACGCGGGTACGCGCTGACAATAGACGTAGCCGTAGCTCTGGAAGCCCAACCTCGTCCCCAGGGTGTCGAGCAGTACGCGCCCACCACTACCTGCTCTCTCACCCTGGTATTGGACATTTGCATGTGCAAGATTTTTGCACACGTATGCAAATGAGGAACAGTCTGGTGCCTGGATATGCGTTACACATTAGCGTTTGTTTTTGTATGCGGTGTCTGGGGTAAAAACAGAGTCAATTCGTAGCAGCGCGAGCACGGCGTGAGTTACGAAAACACGATTTTCGAAATCAAACTGTCACGATCTTATCGAGACAACACATGCAGTATCATATTTCATATTAATATGAGCAACTTGGAAAGGAAATTAGTATTTTCGAGAAGGCGTGGACGAATGATCGCGAAAACACGTACTGCACGTTGTGAATATATAGCACCAAGTACACGATAAAAACCATTACTAGCCAATGCGGTATCCAATCAGGATACAGAAAGAAAGTTTCCTATCCAGGGTTTACTATTGGAAACGCGGTTGGAAATAAAGTAAGCACTGGGGACGAGGTTGCTGGGGTTTCGGACACGGCCTAAGGCCAAGTTCGCGCAAGGACTATAGTTGACCAATGGTTAACTAACGTTTGCCCGAACTCTGTCTAGTCGACGATGGTTGACTATGCTAGTCGACTATTTGGAACCAGCCTACTGGGGTTGGTTGCTTCGTTGGTAACCAATAGCCGCGCGCATTCATAACGCTAGCAGAGAGCCAGGATCCAGAAGTTTTGCAATGACATTTTGACCAGCGTTTGACTAGAGACGTTCGCACGTTGCTACCAGTGCGCAGGCGTAAGGTACGTCACAAATCAACCACTAGTCGACTAATGGTCCTTGCCCGAACTTGGCCCTTGATGACGCGCAGGTCACTGGTCACGCAAAATCCAACCAATCAGAGCGCGAATTCATCGGAGTATCCCAGCGTCCTGTTTGCAGGGCGGGGGTACGAGCGAAATCTATTGTCAACTGTGGACAGGTTTGTCCTCCGTTAAATCAAAAAGCTGGGGGCCGGGGGGGGGGGTACCCTGTCGATGGGGGCGCTGTTCAAAACTGACAACTATGCACACAATGTCCAATATATGGTGCTTTTCAGGGCGATTCATGTGCGAAATTCTGAAAAAAGGCACCCAAAACGGCAGATGCCACAAAATAGGGCGCCACTTCCTAGGGCACTCCTCACCCTGGTATTTGATCATTTGCATGTGCAAGATTTTTAAACACGTATGCAAATGAGGAACAGTCTGGTGCCTGGATATGCGTTACACATTAGCGTTTGTTTTTGTATGCGGTGTCTGGGGTAAACACAGAGTCAATTCGTAGCAGCGCGAGCACGGCGTGAGTTACGAAAACACGATTTTTGAAATCAAACTGTCACGATCTTATCGAGACAACATGCAGTATCATATTTCATATTAATATGAGCAAATTGTAAAGGAAATTAGTATTTTCGAGAAGGCGTTGACGAATGATCGCGAAAACACGTACTTCACGTTGTGAATAATAGCACCAAGTACACGATAAAAACCATTACTAGCCAATTGCGGTATCCAATCAGGATAGAGGAAGAAAGTTTCCTATCCAGGGTTTACTATTGGAAACGCGGTTGGAAATAAAGTAAGCACTGGGGACGAGGTTGTATTTAAGCGTTCAGCGTTGCGCGTATTGTTCCAAAGCGCCAGCGCTACAGCGTTGGGTTCAAACATTTTCATGAAGTGGTGGTTTGGAAGAGAGAAATACATTTTTCACCAATTTTGTATTGAAATAGAAGTTCAAAAATATCAAATGACAAGGATCTATACGTCAGTTATATAAAACAAATATTGAGTGGCTTTAAATTGTGAAATGGGAGGAATATTATCGGTCGGTAAAATCTGGACTTTTCGATCATATTCCTCCCATTCCACGCCGAGCCACTCAATATTTGTATAATATGGGGGAAATGGGAGATGGCAGGCTGTGGCAATCAATGTGAGAACTACATGTACATGTACATGAAGTACCGGTATAAAAGAAATGTCACATTAAATCTGCATAGATGGTAAACCTCTCAAGTACATTCCAAATACAATGTACAGTCGAACCTCGTTAATAAGAGCACTGTTAATACAACATTCTGCTGATCACCCAATCCTTTGTTCTTCATTGTTTTCATTCCGGATAATACAAGATTCCTGTTATTACAAGGTGATCTGCAAAGTCGGAAGGACCACTTATTATAGACGAGGTTTGACTGTATTAACAATTGTGTACAAAACACAAGCTCTACCTGTATCCCTCAAAATCAGAGTAAATAAGGGTTCATTTTGCATATCATTTGATTCTGTGTCACAACTGAAACCACTTTATTTCAGCAATGATCGCAACTACTATAAGAAATAGATAGTGTCATTTTTGGACTGGGAGTGGCACTTATTATTACTATACCTCATACATATTCATGATCGAGAGCCGAACGTTCACTGGTCAATTCACCATCACGTGCCAGATGTTATTCTTGCTGTTTACCAAACGCGCGCGCGAGGATTCACGCACATTGTAAATACGCATGCGTAGTAGACTGTCGCATGGGTTACCCGTGCGACAGTCTACTACGCATGCGCTTTACAGAGCAATCGAGGAACTGTCGCACGGGTGCAGTACGCACGCGCGAACATCGCACAGGAGAGATGCATGGTTGCACGGTTCGCGTAAATGTTAATTTCCAGAGCTCAATGATGCCGTACTGGAGAAAATGTATAGACCGTGTAAAGATGTCTCCTGTACAAAAGAAAGTTGTACACATTGCAAACAAATGTATTTACAACTGTAGTAACTGTATTATATTGCAAACAAACAGTACTAGTAATTGAAGTTGAATCTTTTGGTGAGCTGTACTTTGTAAGTTTCCCCGAATTTTGTTTTAGGTGCATAATAATAAAACAACATTCGGCAACTGATTATGTATGAGGTATAGTAAAACAAATATAACATGGTTTATTTCGGGTGGACAGTCGATATTAGCTCCCCTCGGTATTGGAAGTTGACAAACTAGTTCCCTCAGCTTCGCCTCGGGAACTAGTTTGTCAACTTCCAATACCTCGGGGAGCGAATATCGACTGTCCACCCTCAAACCATGTTATATTTGTATACTGCAGTTTAATATTGATTTACACAGTACATTTCATGAGAGAACACAAATACAAAATATAGAATTAACATGGCCTAATCACGTGGTTATGTAAAACGTCAATGGAATTTATCAAGTATTGCAGTCCAAGAAGGTTGGAAATTGCAGGTTAAGTGGATATAAAAGTTGTAAATATTTTGAAAAAATTGCTTAATCCTTGCATTCAAACAGTAAATGTTTTATAAACAGTACAAAGAAGCTACAATTGGGTCTAAGAAACAACTTTCCCATTCCTGATCCATTTCCAGCCTCATTCATTTTAATCAATTATCTTTGTTTTTGTTTTAATCTGTGTCGGGGATGGGGTACTTGGCAAAAGCATTGTATGGAAGGTACCCTTCCCAATTACTATATCAGACTATTTCTGTAATAAACACAACTACATGTACTCAAACAAGAATCATTACATTGATATACATGTAGTGATGCACAATGGTCACATTATGAGTCTCTTATGTGATAACTTATGCATAAAGAACCTATCGACGAACGACGAACGCCTTGACCAAGGCTATATCATTACCTATCTAACGTGCTTTATCATCAAACAACTGTCAAAAAGCAAAAAATGGAAATGAAAAAGAATACTGCACTTCACATTTACAACCATAACACATAAAAAAATATGAGAGAAATCAAGGAAGTTCCATTTTTTTTTAAAAAGTAGTATTTAAAGATATAGTTCATCATTTGTAATTTGTGCATTTTGTTCGTTTGAAGCAACAAAAGTGTTCAAAATCTAATGAAAGATACTGAACAACTAACCTGATGAAGTTTCAGCTAAGCTTCAGCTGTATATTCCGAGAAAAACAGCATTCTAGGATCTCAATTTCAAATCAAAACTTACTGAATCATGTTTTGAATTGTTTTGAATTGCAGCTATACGCGACGTCGCGCACTGATCCGACGATTTATAGCAACCGCGCGCGCGCGTGTGCGTCGTGCCAATGCTTGCGCGCGCTTCGCCGAATAACAAAACGAACTGCTAATTTAAATTTTCCTACGGTACGTCTTAAGACGCACCGTTGGAAAGGCCTTCTTTCGTTGATTACTTCAAAATGACAGCTTCCCAGAAAGAATAATTTCACAGGGAGTTTAGTTCCCTTACTATCTTTCAACCAAGTTTGTTTTTCAACAATAATTAGGCCAGTTACTTTTCGGATGGCTGCAAATAATGGACTATAGCAAGTTCATGGACATTTGCTCTGATTTTCGAATAAAGAAATATTAAAAAAATACTTCTGTGCACTTTGGCCATTGGTGGTTACAGTGACATGTTGCTATAGACACTGTACTCTATTTCATATAACAGAGTGAATATTCATTTCTGTGACATAAGTAATGACCACACACTTGTTATTACAGGATGAGTGCCTGCTGCCATAACTTGGGGAAAATATATTCCTTTTTTTCCCCAAACATCAATATTAACATTGCAAGGGAAATAGCAAACTGAAATAATCATTCATTACTTGATTAAAAAAAATGATCTCTCTGGTTTAAATTGCTCTTTAAAAATTAACAGTGTACGGTAGAAAAAGTATGATCAAGTTTTAAATATTCACAGTACAAAACTGGTATCATGTTTTCACAAAATTGCCAGCAATGTTTGTATTGAGAATATTGATCTAATACAAACCATATACACAATATAAGACTAAAAGTTAGCTACATGAAAGGTGCATTCTATTAATACGATTGTGACAAACATATTGAAAACCATTTGTATTAATTGCCACCATCTTATTCACATTAAAGAAACATCAGTACTTCAAAATATAAGGAGCACATTTATGTTGTAGGATCTTTCTATCATGAAAAGAGGTATGTTTCCTTGTCTACATCACCTAAAATCACCTTTCTGTATCATCTTAAGTATGGCCTATACATGTACATGTCTACACACATGCATACATGTGTGCAATATAAACTACACAAATTATGATTGGCTGACTTGTTCCCTAGGCAGATATTCACTGGTTATTTGATGAGCAACTTGGGATTTAAAACTTCAGTTGATCCCAAAGAAAAATTATCAAAATGAAATATTAAACAAAGATTTGTGAAAAAAAGATACCCGCCAACATCCCCCCCCCCCCAAAAAAAACCCACCCCACCAACTTCAAACTATGTGTTTGTGTGTACATGTACACCTACTCAGTAAGGCTGCCAGAGGTAAAAATGTGATGTCACTTGTATCCTTGCATGTGAGATGGATGTGATAACAAGGTAGGATCAAAAGGAACAGGCGCTCCTACTCCCCCAACAGGCTGGTTACCTAGTAATGGACTGCCAACACCATGCTAGAAAAGAAATGGATTAAAACAAATCAATACATACAATTTACACAACAGGATTACAAAAACGAGTAATTGAGTAAATGTACATGCATATTAGAATAGGAAATCGTTATATCCTGTCTTTGATACTTTTTTTGTAGTTTCATTGGTCTAGAACAGCCACGTTTCTAGTCCATAAAAATAACCGTTTACTTCATATACACTGCTTTGCATATACATGTAAATAACTTCATGTACACCACGTTGCACCTAATTTAACTCAAATTAACTATGTTGCGCACACTACCTCAGTGTTGCCTGCGCTTTTAGGGCCTGTCCACGCGCCTCATGACGGAGAACTACAAGCGCTCAGTCTCATGTCTGGTAGGAAAACTCGCAGTTATCAAAGATTACACTGCAGTGATTTAATTTATGTTTTGCATATATAGTAAGTTACAAGTCTTTATCATTTTGACTTATGGCACGATATAACACAACAATTGTTGACTGCTGTGATTTGAGATATGCCATTGTTTAACCCCCTCGGGGTGCATAGCGCCTTTCAGATGTTCAAAACACTGTATCTCACATCCATTACCTGTGTGTAGTAGGCCATGTCTGGATACGTGTGGGAAGGCTGGGGTCTGTAAGCTGTAAGCCCTGTACCCACACCAGCTCTGTGATGCATGTGCTGTTGATACTGTTGTCTTGCAAATTGTTCAGCCTCTTGCTGACCAATATACTGTGGGAACAGAGCATGACTTGGTCTCTGCATCCTAAAAACTGAGTGGCTGGAATATGGATGTGGTGTGAATGCAGAACTTGTTTGGCCGTCTGATTTCTGTCTAGTTGGAAGAAGATGATTTAAATGTGACCCTGATGGATACCCATGAGAGACTACACTGGCTTGACCTGCATGCACCGGGTGGTCAGTATACAGTGACGAATGTGCTTGGTTATATGCAGGTCTAGGCCCAGCATATCCCCTCGCAGCAAAATGATCTTTGTATCCTTTCATGCTTCTAGAGTCAGTTGTCAGCATAGAAAGAAAACTCTCAGATTTTCCAACTGGCATCATTGTTCCAATACCTCCACCTTTGTCTGCATGTCTCATTTGCACCTGAGACATGTTATCCTTTCCATGATCTGCGCGACCGGCTACATTACTCTGGTCTGAAGAGGAATGTGGGTACTGTGGAATAGATGCCACTTTCTGTTGTCTGGCAATAGATGTCTCTGCACCTTGCATGACATTCTCTGGTTGTCTTATTACTGACTGACTAGAGTTGGAAGCAGCAGCTTCAACTGTTTGATTAGGTAGTTGGACACTTCCCTGAAGAGAAGAGCAGTACACTGGGGGTACATATCTCAATCCCAGATGAGCTGGTGAATGATTAGACATTGGTTGCCTTGATCTGTTGGGTTGTTCCTTTTTGTCTGTATGACAATGTCCAGGAGCATCTCGATAATGGACATTTCCACTTGATGACAAGTTAAACTGCCTCATATCAATAGAAGCAATGCTATCATCTTTAGCAATGAAGTCAGGGTTATCCTGTCTGGCGTTCTTTTTGGATGACATGGACAACATATACAGATTTTTGGAGGCATAATTTGATTGCTGGTTTTCTGATGTACATATATTAGACTTTCCATGAAGTAGTGACTCAAGTATATTGCGACTTTGTGAATTGCTTTGGGCTGCCTTTGTGGTACCTTCTTGGGATAATTTCTTGTGATCTGGATGCATCTCATTATGATTTGCCATTGTGTGCATATACAAAGCTGACTTATCAGCCGCAGGATAGCCAGATGCACTTTTATCTTCAAAACCCAGTGGATGCCATAATTTCTGTGTCAGCTCACTTACATTAGTTCCTCTAGAGCTCTGGGATGATGGGGGTGGAAAATGTCCAGAATATTGGAAGGGATTGCTTGTTATATTTGTCGACTGTTGTTCGTTCCAGTGTGATGCTTGAAAGGAGTTGGATGAAGGCAACAAAGGCTGCACGGCTGGAACATGATGCACTGCAGTTTCTTGGATTGGTAACACTGTCAATGGTGCTGGCAGGTCAGGTAGATTTTCTGACTTAATGTTTGTAATTTGAGGATGACTTTTGGTCCCTGAGTGTGCAGATTGCTTGGAATGCTGAAAACCTTGATTCTGACTGGAAGGTACAAACAAATTTCCCCGAGGTACAGCTTGATTCAAGCCAAAGGAATTTTCACTGTGAAAAGGTATGTCTCTTTCACTTGGTGATGATGTCATTGGATTCAAAACATCAAGACGTCTGGAATTCAAATCTATCATTGCTGGTGGACCCTGAGATGTTAGTGTTGCTCTGTGCTGATCACGTGGTAAAGATTGCATTGCATTACCATCTTCAGAATGACTGTCGGGTACATATGGACGTACATTTTGGACAGGCTTGACACGGTTTGCCTTTGAGGTACTGGAAGCCTGCAAGGGAGCATTTGACATCTGACCCTGATTCTCTTTACAACCTAATTCAGTTGTAACAGCACCCAGAACATCTTTCCCACATTGTTCGAAACTTCTTTTTTATCATCATTGCATGGTTGTGTCTGTTGCTGATGTATATCTTTAACGGGAATATCGTCAACAGCTTGCTCTTTCGATAATAAACAAGGTGCAAATGCAATAACACCTCTTGGTTTGAAAGCACTGGCATCATTTTGGTAATCTTTTCTGGAAGTAGTACAGGTGGGGGATTTATCAGCATTCAGTTTATTTGTTTGATCATCATTCTCAGAGTAGTTTATTGTACATGTAGACAATATGGATGTTTCTTGTTTCATGTGACTATTTATAGTGGGCACGTCATCAGTGTCAGTGAGTGAGGAGACCTTGATATCATTCTGGTTGCCTTCATCATTGCCATGATCTTGCCTATCTTCATGCTGCTCCAATTTAACTTGGTGTTCACTCTTGACAGTTTCTTCCTTTATTTTATTCACATCTGTATCATCCTCCTCATCACTAGCAACTCTTGAACTATCCTGGCTTTCAACAATGCTAGACTCACTACTGCTTAGACCCCTTAGTCTAGCATACACCTTATCATCCATTTTTTCCAGTCGTGTATTGGCATTTCTTGCAGATTGACGCTGTGGAGGTCTTTGATGTACATAGTGGTCCAGAACACTTGAGCTACCATCACTGTCAATCCCATCACTGTCAACTTCCTCTTTTGGGAATATCTTGTCCATGTTGTACTCCAAACAAGATTTAAGATTCTCAGCCATCAAGGTGTATTCTGTTTTTAAATAATAATGAATACAACAAAGAAAGAGATGGATATAAAAATGTTTGGAAGACTTCCTACCTGAACCAAATGTTTACCTTACATTAACCCAAGTGATAAAGATTGCATATTATGTTGCTCCATACAGTATGTCCCCAAAAAAGTGACCGTCTGCCTTTTTTTAAACCCTAACCGTCCCGAATCCTTCAAAATCCTCTTTGACAAAATGGAGGAATTTGGAGGATTGAGGTTACATGGCAAAAGTGCGTTACTGATTTCATAGGATGTACTTTGTCAAGGTCTTGGGCCGGACATTGTGTTGTTTTTTGCTCGGCCATGCATAATTATAGGCATGGATTATGCTTGAAATCCTCCATACTGCTCCAGGATGTCACTGGCCAAGCCTCAACATATTGACAGTCACTGCCGCAGGATTTTGCAGGATTCAGGCAGTGGTCACCCCTCCACATACCATATTCAGGAAATAATGGAGGAATTTGCAGGATTGAGGCTATATGCTATATTTCCATGAGGCCAATTGGAGAATTTTGCAAGATTGAGGCTACATTCTTGCAAAAAGGCCTAGGGAGTTAGGGTACAACTACAAAACCATGAAGTCAATTTTGAAACTGTTTTGATTGTGCAGATACCGCTTATCCTTGGCCTAAACCCCACTGAGTGTTATTCAATTTCCATCACGCCTCAGTGCACAATGGTCAATTGATCACAACAACATGTGTAAACACTTTTCCCAAGTTCCTTGCCTTAATCAATTCCAGTACTGTGTTATGCAAGCTTTGTAAAATCCTGCCTGTTGTGAAAAAGGGCTGAATGTGGTTGGGGATTGGAATTATTTGCCCTTGAGCATTAAACTTAGGTCTTGTCATGATGACTGAAAGCCAGCCGAATGATTTCAAGAATTCAGAGTTACTACTTGTTTAAGTTTGTAGAAATGTTCAAGGTTAGGGTTTTTTATTCAGAAAGGAAGGGGGGTTGATGAATAACATTACTAACTGGCAGCCTGATGTATTTTTCTCTAATCACCAATACTTACCATTTCCAGGACCGTTGTATTCCAGACAGTTCGTAAATAGTTGGTTCATGTCTCTTTCAAACTATAGAAAGGGCCATGTGAAAGTAAATAAAGAATTAAATAAACATGAAATATAACTGTTACAGATGTGCTATTACGGCCAACAGCTTGTCTATGTAACCTGTACCCAAAAAAGTGACCGTCTGCCTTTTGACTTGTCTATGTAACCTGTACCGTAGTCATGGTATCTAAGATAATGCAGACTGTCCTCCCAAGCTAACTTCGAAACACACGTAGATTAGGAAACAGTCTAAGCACAGTCATAACTACAAAAAGCATTCTTTCATACTCAGTATTCACTGCTCAGAGAGTAGACTGCAATCAAAAATGAGAATTTAATGACCAGATCTACTGCCAAGCTCTAATTCAAAACCTTATGTAGTTATTATTCCAGTGCCATTTCAGAATGCTTATAATTCACTTCCCGTACCTAGCACGGGTTTATGTTCTACATACACAATTGTTACTTTCAATCATTTTATATACGCATGTAAATGCTAAGATATAAGTGGACACTATACAATTGTTGCCTGCTGTGGCAGGGTCCATTGTGTTTTGTACACCCGAGGGGGCAAATGGCACCCGAGGTGAAGCCGAGGGTACCATTTGCCCCCTCGGGTGTACAAAAGCCATGGACACCGTCACAGCAGGCAACAATTGTTTTGTTATACCACAGTAATAGATTACAGCTGTCCAATTCTGTCACTGATAACATGTGAAACTGTGGGGTCTCTTCCTGTTGCCGTGCAGAATTGGCAAACTTTTCGTACAAAATTGTCTGTAAAATATTTTTTGTCTTCATGCTGATGCTGTCCTGATCGAAAATCAAATTTCTGATCTCAACCTTTGAAACAAGAGAGAAACCCCTTATTGGAGGCGACCTGTTGTCATCTGCCGACATTATTACCGTGAAATTATGGTGAAATTGGCACAGTTAAAAAAAGCAGACGAACAGTAATGAATGATAACAATGGCAGTTTTAGCTAGCACAAATAGTGCTTCACTGTCCCCGGTGGCACATCTCACAGGAACATACATCAATGTACGTTGTACCAGTGTAGCTACAACCTTGTACCCGAGGTCACACAAATTTAATACAACGTGGTAGAAACGACACTTTTAACACTGCGGGAAAGATCAAGGTAATGAACCCCGTGGGGTAAATCTACTCATGTATCACAGAGTACAACGCTCATGTGTTTTTTGGGGCATGTCACGTGATCCACTCTCGACCAATAAAAATTCACAATCTATTACCGTGGTATAACAATATTTATTGGTCAACTGATTGAAACTAAAATGAAACATGACTACATGTACCTCATCTTTAGTCTTGTAGTCCCCTTTCTTGAGCTTCTCTTGTATGAAGCCGAGACACATTGGTTTGATGACAATTTGATAGTATGCAGGTGCATATGCTTCATCTACAGGATCTAAAAACGGCCAGGAATCTTCATGTTTACTGACTGCATCATACACTATTGAGGGTAAAACAAAAGGCATTACAAAATGTACTAAAATAAAGATCACATGCTAAAATCCGTAGTAGTACATGCAAGTCCAAAATGGAAAACAAAATAAACATGTCACCGGCAGGAGCGTATCCAACTTTGGATGGGGGGGGGGGGGGGGGGGGCAACCGCACATCTACGCCCAAATGTGGAAATGTTTGTTTTCTCCGGACACTTGACCTCCGTAAAATGAACAAGCGTTGGGGGGGGGGGGGGGGGGGAACTGGTACCCACCTTCAAAATGGGGGCGCTCTTCAAAACTGACCATTATTATGCATACCGCAAATTATACCCATTTTCACAGTGCATTGTAATGGCTTTTTAGCGGGTTTTTTTTGGAATTGATGTCAGAACTCTCTAACCATTTATTAAAATAATTGCTGAACACAAAAAATTGTGACAAAAATCTGCCGGGGGGGGGGGGGGGGGGGTGGGGGCAGAGTGCCCCCTCTGGATATGCCACTGGTCACTGGTTAATCATGGAGAAGAGGGCAACTTCATGTATAATGAAAACAAACATGGAAAGCTCCTCCAATAAGGCCCATAAAATACGTCTGCTTCCGGTTACCCGACCAACCCTATTTTTAGGCCGTGACCCTAAAAATTTTATCGGCAAGTACAAAAAAAACAAAACCAATCAATCAATAAATAAATAAAAACATTCTGTTGTCTTCTCTGTCTTCACAAAACACCTCTCAACAACCCTTTTGCATAAAAAATGCCTGTATTTATTTGTTTGCCTACTTACATTCACTATTTTTTTAGAAGAAACCTCCGTTGCTTTGCGATAACTAGTTTGCAATTCGATGTCGCGGTGACGATATAAAAACACGTGCGTAATGCTCAATGCAGCAATGACTGGTTCCGGCCGCGCACTAAAAGGGCTAAAAAAAGGCATGATGGAAATTTGGTAACCAGTTTATGCATTGCTGCAGTGCACTGCAGTGCACTGAAGTTGCAGGTCGGATTAGACATCGTAAAAATGCCAAGAAAACACCGATGGAGAAGGAACATTTTTGCACGTTAATTCATAGAACCTGATCTCTGTTGTCGGTGTATGTATGTGTTCATGAATTTGTTTTAAGGTCGTACTACACGTACGGTATTTGGAGTGATACGATGCAGCGTGTTTCCCCAAAATTTCCTACCATAAAAAAAAGGTTTGTCACCCGCCACACACGGTGTACCACACACGCTTATACTGCGCGATGTACGGCCAGTGTTGGCCAGTTTCCCGTCGCGTCTTGACTAGCGTTGTGCATAAGGTGTGCACGACCTGAATTTTCCATTATTTTTTTATAGCTTTTATAGTGCAATGGAAATAGTTCAGGCTGAAATTCGCATATAATTGAATACCCATTCAATCTGCACAAAAAAAAATGGTCCCCCCCCCAAAAAAAATGTCTGACCTACTGACCCTATTTTTGAAAGGTATGTAATCGGAAGCAGAAATATTTTTTTCTTGGCCTAATCTAATGTTCTTCTTCTTATTAATGAACAGAGAGTATGTGGATGCAATTTCCACACAAGCTTTTTCTTAATGTTAAGATATATAAAACCCAGGGGCAGTAAGTGAGCTTTCCATTGATATCTTGGAGGCATTTTTCTGTGAAAACCTTCTTTGGAAATTTTGGGTAAAACATCGTGAACACACACAGACATAAAAAAAAAATAGGTTCAAGGGATATTCAAGAAAACATGAAAGCAAGATTTCCATCAATTGATGATCTTGTGCCGCAGCGCTAGTTGCACTTTCGACCACAAAGAAAATGATACATTTTTCTTCCAACATCATTGGCGGGCACAAGATGGTGCCCCAGCCCGCTGACTCATTGGACAGAGTCATCGCACTGAATCATGCTGTGCAATGACCTCCAAGGCCACTGGATTTGACCTTGTGATTTTTGCTGTTGTGGATTTTGTTGTTAAGTTTTTTTTTGGGGGGGGGGGGTGGTATTTACAGTAAAATGTTTTCAGCAGTCCATCTCACAACCTGCTGCATTTACCACAAGGTGGACAATTTGCATGATCAATGTGCAATGGTGAGATAGGCCATGGAAGATTTGTGCCACCGATAAAGAACTTTATGTTAAAAGGGTAGGTGGACATGTGGAGGGTCATAAATGTAAGGTATGGAATCCTGAATGACTATGATTGTCAACTGATAGTAATTCTGTTTTGTTCATGTTTTCATGAAGTTGAATGTGTCTTGAACCTACTTGTCTAATGTCTGGATGTGCGCATACTGTTTTACCCCAAACTTCCTGAGAAGGTTTTCACATATTATTTTCAAGGCAACGAACCTTAATCCAGAAAAATGCATCCAAGATATATTTTCATGACCAGAAAAATGCATCCAAGATATCAATGATTAGATTAGATTAGATTTCTTTATTGTCATGCTCAAAATGGAAAGCCAACTGCCCCTATGCTCAATGGAAAGCTAACTGCCCCTAGTTTATGGAAAGCTAACTGCCCCTAGTTTATGATACAACCATAATGTATCCCACATAAAACCATAATGTATCCTACATAAAACCATAATGTATCCTACATAAAACCATAATGTATCCTACATGAAACCATAATTGGAACCATTTCACAGCTCAACAGTTTAAAGACTGCACCAGCCCCCAGGCCCCCAAAATTAAATGAAACAAAGGAACAAACCACAATGTTGGCGTATAGGACAGCTGGAATTTTCAAGAGTAGTAACATGCCTCAAAATCCTAATAATTACTCCAAAAGAGTAATGGTTGGCATCTCTGGTATTGGAGCCCAGAGAGGCCACATAAAGCTTATACTCGATCGTAACCCCATCTAAAAACACGCTAACATTGTGCAGCAGCAGGATTCCAGTCAAACCAGTGAGTTTGGCGGTTTTGAGACATCATCTTATATTGAACAAATTTCATGTTGCCGATGCGCATGGCTACAGCAACGCGCGCATACCAGAAACTGAGACTTTTTGGGGGGGGCCTAATATAAGTTAATACATGTTTATATATGTTTCAAGACAAAATATCTAGGGAGTGAGACAAGAATATTTCTTCTTGAACTAAGAATCTTTCTAATTTTAAAAGTGCACAAATCAAGAATCTGATTTGACAACTTCTTTATATCCAATTATTTAAATACACTTACCTTGCTGCAATGGTGCATGGATGCTTTCACTCGAGGCATTTACTTTCTTTACTTTCTTGGAGTCTGTTTGCTTTTTGTGGACAGAGCTCTGTGATGTTTTTAACGATTTGTCACCATCTACGTGCTCTAAATGAATCAAAAGCATTTCAGCAAAATCAAATAAGTATTGTTACTACTAAACATGATCTCTAAGAGTGCAATCACAGGTGTGTTACAGTGCCTGGAACATAGCTGTACACTAGAGGAGATTGACAATGAAAGATTGATCATTGAAATGTACAGTGCGTGGACAATGTATTCAAATTCACAAAAACACACCAGGGGCCATATTCACATGCTCAGTGATTACATATTCTTATCACTTGTGAACTGAATTATATCGGAAATTAGTTTTATTTATTGTCTTTTAAAATTGTTTAAATGAAAGTTGCCCATCACAATGCCCACGAGGGCTACACAGTAGGCCTGGGCAAGTAGTGGATTTTTCTACTTGAGTTCTCGCAAAAAAATTACTTGCGAGTACATGTAGTCCAGTACTTGCGAGTAGTTAACCAAATTTCCACGAAAGCAGAAAAATGACATACATGTATACGTTAGTGTGACAGGAAGTAACTACAAGCAAATAGCATGCAAGTCACACCACATTCTTCAGCACTGAGCTATCCTTACTGTGCGACGTTTTGGGTCATGTACTTGAATTTTGTTTGTTTTGGACGAATGGAATTCTAGCGAGAGGGGCGGAAGGAGTGATTCCCTGTTTGCAGGGGACGTATTAAGCTGTGAACCCTAAACCCTCAATTGCTACTCGCAAGTTCCTGCTTCTACTCGCGCCAGGACAAGTACTCGAGTCGATGAAAAACTACGAGTAGAACGAGTAACATAAACTACTCGCAAGTACTCGATTACTACTTGAGTACTACACATAGAGAAGAGAAAGAAAAACAAAGTTCAGAAATCAAATCAACAAAGGGGAAAGGTAGCTATGTAAATGTACAAGTACATGTATATTGCACTTCAGAAATTCCAAATTGAGGTAGTGCATGGAAAGTAACTGCATAAGAATATTTCACAGAATTTTTTTCAGCACAAGAAATATACAGGCCCGGGTGCAAAATCTTTCTGTAACTGGTGTTTTTACTTTATACAATGGACTATGAATATCTTCCTGTATTTCACATTGGTAATCTAACAGATAATTACCATGTTGATTTGGATGTTGCTGTAACTTGTTGCGTAGTTTCATCTTCTCCCGCTTCTCTTCTTCAATCTGCTGTCTTCTACTGGACTGCTCTGCCTCCTCAATGGATTTCAATCGTTCCTTTCAAAATATAATTAAAATGTGAGAATCACATCAACAACATATGTACAACATAGTACATCAGTGTTGAACCTTTCAAGTCTCTGGCACACACATACAGGGTGAGTAAAAGTAAAAAACAAAAAAAAAACGAAACCCAAATGTCAGGACTATTGTTTTATTGAAGTTCTGCATGTAGCACTTTCAAAATCTAGGACATTAAAGCCCAATTCATAAGCTTTTTTTTGTACAAGAATCATTCAAATTACTCATGTACTTTTTAAGTTACGGAATTTTAAACACAACCACCGTTTTAAAGTTCTGTCCATGGATCACAAAAAAGGTTTGCGTTCTTTCAGCAAAACGAAAACAATTCACACACATCCCTATGTGATTTGTTTTTATTTTGCTGAAACACTGCCTTTTTTTGTGATCCGTGGACAGAACCTTAAAATGGTGGTTGTGTTTAAAATTCCGTAACTTGAAAAGTACATGAGTGATTCGAATGATTTTTGTACTAAAAGAAAGCTTAGGAATTGGGATTTTATATCCTAGATTTTGAAAGTGCTACATGCAGAACTTAACTAAAACAATGGTCCCAACATTTGGGTTTCGTTTTTTTTTACTCACCCTGTACTTTGCACCTGATTCTGTTTTAAAATATTGAATTTAGAACTACATGTACAAATAGAATTTAATCAAAATAATTTTTTACAAAATAGCAATGAACAATGAACTTTGTGAATTAGCAGAGCTCAAACACACAACATGAAAGTTTGGAATCTCCTCCCACACAAAATGAAAGTAAAATAACTTAAAATAAAATCACCGCACGAAAAAACATCTTTACATAAAACACGACAGTCATCACACAATGTCAGGGTGCAGGGCTTGAAATCTCCCCCACTTACATTGTAGCTAACGCTAATGGCAACTTGTGCAACCATATATATTGGAATGTGTGTACATGTAGTTTCATTCAAAATAAAGTGTTACGTAACCTTTAGAAATCGCCCTTTGCAACCATATGGCTGGAAAGGGCATTGCACAGGCATGCCTGCTTCTACATTGAAACATTTATTCTATTTTTCCCAATATCTTTAGCTATCAAACTTGTCAGGTAGTGTTGTGATTTTTTTTATAACCACAGGGTTATATAAAATGATAGGGACTGAGGATTTACAAATATGTAAATCAACAGTACCTTTAGTAGCTTTACAAATATGCAACTGATGCTGTGATTGCTTATGTAACATGCTTGACATACGTAATCTGAGTAGTTTGACCCATTTTCTATTTTGCTTTTAATCCTAATCGTATTTCTTTTTCAGCTTTGTTCACAAACCTGATTTTAATCAAGTCGCTGCAGTTTTGATTGGTTAATCATCTACGTTCTGCACTTTGTAGAATAAAATGATTTTTTTGGGACTTATTTTGTTTTTAATCCATCTCATGTTTGAAATATGGGGAAAAGTTATTAGCAATGGAAAAGAATTGCGCATACATGTAAATGTTTACAACAGAATGCTGCTATAATGAATATCACTACATTTGTGTATCAACGTATCTCACTAGGTTCTTATCAGGGGCAACACAAAAGTGATGCTGATATGTCAAACAAGGCAAATTACCTCCTCTTCCCGTTTGAGCTGCATGATGACAACTCGGGATGATGCTCTTCTTGGAGCTAATTCTTGAAGTTTCTTACGCAGTGCTTTTTCCTAAATTGGGGTAAAATTATAAGCAATGGAAAAAAATAGAGTACTGCCAAAAATATGTTCTCATTGAATATAGATGTTTACCATAGAGTACTGTTATAATGGACATCACTACACATGAACATCAAACATTTGGCTATAACAAACACTGAGTAACTTCCAAATGTTATGCATCAGTTTACTGAGCATTGGCATTATTGTAAATGTACAAATATAAATGTTTCCTTATATCTCTAATGGATTCAGAAATTTAAAATTATTAGTTAGGGGGGCAAGATGCAGTCGAAAAATAATTATAAAAGTTTTGGGGAAATTATCTCAGACCAAAATAGTGCAGGCCAAGTAAAAGTGTGTGTGAAAGGCATTGGAGCACTTAAGGCACTTTTGACAATGGAGTACCGAAGTGTGACGTCATTTAGAAACAGAAAGTGTAGTACAAACGAATGGAGTACGCGCGCGTGTTGGTTCTCAAGCTGAATCACGCACTTTATGTCTTTCACACACATTTTGTGCGCGTGACGTATTCACTTCGGTACTCCATATAGTTAACACATTGCTTACAACCTGGACTATTCGTAGGGTAATATTCACCAACTAAATGTATGCATTTTATGTACGCCAATTGTTAACCCTCATGTCTTGGTTTCAACTCAGTTCTACATTGTAAACATAGTGTCTTCTTCATGTATTTTGTCCTCTCCTGTATCGAGAAAATTGCTCAATACACTTGCTATTCAGGCAAACTGTGGTGACAAACGTCAGTCTATTTCATTTGGAGTTCACTTGAATTTCTTAATAATGGTCAAGTTAAAAATTGTGCTTTCTTTAACCCCTTGCCACCGGGTTTTTACACTTCACTGCACAGTCTTACAAGCATCACTGCACAGTAGCCTCTGCGCAGTAGCTGCAGTAGCTGCCCACAGACGGCATTAACAAGGCATAGCCGTCAGCCGGCGTGAAGGGGTTAATGCTGCTCTCCTATTGACATATATATGTATTTACTTTAAATTGGACACTCTCCTCATGCCAAGTTCAGCCAACCACATGAATTGTGGGGAGAATAAATTTTAAGTAAAAGAGGAATTCACATGGAGCAATCACAAACCTTAACCTTCCTAATTTTTCACCACATACAATTTTACATCACATCAAATTTTTAATGCGTCTTTATTTTTTTAATTTAGGATACTCATTCTATCAAGTTTAATTCACTTAGAAAAGATACATAAACTTGTGGTCATACAATGCATATGATATTTTAATTCTTTACCTTAGCGGCAAACAGGCTGTGTATTTCTGGAAGGAAATCATTGGCAAGAGTCTTGTACAATTCTTTCTCACATTGCACTTTGCTCTTCTTGAAGAAATCTGTAAGTTGCTGCCAATCTTCTTGTGAATGGCAGACCAAATGCCATCGTGGTGGTTCCATATCATCTTCACTGTCAGTATCTGTGTCACTTGACTGTGGAACACTCGCACTAGATGACACGTCCTCTTCACTACTCCATGTAGTCATCTCACACACCTTATTGCAAGTTGTGGGAAGCCTGTTTGTTTTGGGGACTGTTTTGTTGGTTTGTGCATGAATTTGATCCTGTTTGATGTGATCTTTTGACTCAGAGCTAGCTGCTTTTTTTGGCTTTGTCTTCATCACTGTCTGATATTTACATGCTGAACGACTTTTGCTTGATTTCTTTTGATTTGCTTTGAACTTTTGAACATCCATATGAGATCTTTGAACTTTTGCAATTTTTGTCAATGGCTGTTCATCATCACTATCCTCTTCACTTTCACTGATTATTGCTTTTGACTTGATAACTTTGCGCTTTCTTGATTTACCGGGACCAGCCTGTAGAGACCTTGTTTCGTTGGCTTTATTCCGTCCTTTTTTAGAGGTAGATGCTTTTGTATCATTGTGGCTTTTGGCTGCTCTCTTGGCACTCTGCTGTATTTCTGTTTTTGAGGATTTACATTTTGAAGGAATGGCTCTCTCGCGTTTATTTGTACTACTCTTTTTAGAAGTTGTTATTTTGTGTTTCTTTTCATTTTCTGCTTTCTTCAGGCTTTGTTTCTTTGCTCCAGATTTCTTGGATTTGTCTACATTTTTCATCCCATTTTGATTAGGCGTGTTGTTATTGTTGAGTCTTTGTTTACTCTTTGTGTTTTTCTGTAGTTTGCTTGAGGGTGCTGATGTGATCTCACTGTTACTGGTCTTCCTCCTCTGTCCTTTCTTGACATTGCTACTATCTGTCAGGTTCTGGAGACGTTGCACAGTTACCAGTTCATGACTGCCTTCATCGTCACTGTCAACAAATAACAAAGCCAAACCAACAATCACTAAAATGAGAACTTGATCCATTCAATAACACACTACATGTAAAATGGCATTGTGTTCACATAAATATGCATGGCTGCTGCACATCTCTTAAAATGAACCAAAATTGAAACTGACATACATGTACACATATTTAGACATGTATGTATACGAAGACATCTGTATACAGGGTGAGTAAAAAAAAGCGGAACCCAAACCCCCAAAAATATATATCATATTTAAGAGAAAATGTAGCACCAAACATAATAATAACTGAAAAGCCAATTTCATAAGCTACTTTTACATGAAAAAAATTACAGAAATTGCTCAATCCGTTCAAAGAATATCACAATTTAAACACAATGACCCTAAAACCTCTTTCGTCCAAAACTGCGATTTCAAGAATTGTTGTCACATTTGTCTTCAAACAAAACATCACCAGCGATAAAACCTCAGTTTTAGAGTTCTTTTGGAGGCCTGTCTTAAAAAAAAAGGGTTTTATGAACCCCACTGTTTGCCTAACCAGGGTTGTTAATAAAGATATTGTGTACTACAGTTGTTGAAACAAGTATTCTGTGTCATTTTCTTTGTTGTTTCAAACAGTCAGAACACACAAAAACTGCTCTTTTTTTGAGGGAACAGATTTTAGGGTCATTGCGTTTAAATGGTGATATTCTTTGAACGGATGGGCAATTGCAGTAATTTTTTCATCTAAAAGTAGCGTATGCAATTGGCTTTCCAGTCATTATTATGTTTGGTGCTACCTATTTTTTAAATATGAAATATATATTGGGGGGTTGGGGTTCCGCTTTTTTTTATTCACCCTGTACATCTGTTTGGAATAAATCAAGTTATTTATCAGGAATACTCTACAGTCTTTGTTACTTATTGTTGATCAACTGGCTCAAACAATGTGCTGCTCTTGAATAAGGACCTTTCTCCAAGACTTTGTGCTAACATTAAAGACCTTTTGTTCATCTTGATGTAGTCTTACCCTTAGTGTTGCCCTACTGCCCCTACTGCCCCTACGCCACTCTTTGCTGCGTCACCCTTGAGAATTGCCACAAATTGTCACACTAAGCCTTCGAACAAACCTCTTCATTGGAGTCTGTGGTATATGTTTGATGCAGACTACCAAGAGTGGACTTCATGCAAGGTTTCATATTCCACATCCAGGACAGCAATCAATTCATGCTGCCTGGGTAGAAATCCTTGATACAATTGGTATATGTAAGTGAAGGATTGAAGGTGTTTTTTGTAATGGTTCTTGGTGTCTAAGTTTCGTTACTGATTTCTCCAATGTGATATTGCCACGTGCGTAGGTAGTCACACCATGGCTATCTGCTCCGTTCACAAGCACCCCATCACCGGCAAAGAAAGTACAGGTGGGGGCGACGACCGACGCCATCTTGCCTGACTGCAATTTTGCCGCGACGCGCGGCCACCACAAGCACTGCGTGTACATAGTACAACTGAATCCCCTGGTGTACAAAATGTACGTGCGTCGCACACAAGGAACGGTGCGCGTCAACCAGCAAAATGTCCCGCCCATGGGATGTCGTTGCTAGGTAAAGGGCGCCCTCTTTCCTTAGCGCACGGAGCCCATACATGTATGTGTTCTTGTTTATTACCATAATGATTATCCAATTGCAAATGATTATCCAACCAACTTGATTTGGTCTTTAGTTGGTTACATAATTTGGATGTCAGCTTTAAATTCACGTATGGTACTGTGATTACAATTTTGTAATGGTCAAATTTTTTTTTGTAATCACTTTGTTCTCTGCAGAGAAAATCTATGCACTGCTTAGCGTCAGTGCATAGCTTCAACAGTTATTCAGTGGACTAGCATTCCAGAGTCACACCCTAATACGCTGTACAACTACAGCTACTTGGGTCAACCAAAAGACATTTGCTTACAGAAAGGCAAACCTTACTGTTCAATTGATTAGAGTCTTAATTCTATATATCAATTGTCCCATTGAGCAAGCTCTGGAGTAGTTCCAAACAATGACTACCACTGATATTTCATGTAGCTCCAACACTGTTCCAAATTTCAACTATCATGTACGTAATTCAAATTCTTAGAATAGTTTGGTTCAGTGTGACTCTCAAATGCCAGTCTGAAATAGGTGAAAAGGACAAAGTATGTGGGCAACGTTCTGTTATGTCAATCTGTGTAATGAATTATTATTCACTTTCAAACAAGGTTTTACCTTAATTTGGAAGATTTCTTCTTCTTTTTCTTATCTCTGCCACTTCCCTTGCTCTTTCCCTTCTTTATCTTCTGTTTGTGTTTTCTCCTTGCTTCTTTCATACTTTTTATGGCTTTCAAACGGTCCTTTTTTTGCCTGCGCTTCTCTTTTAGCCTCCAGAGAGAAATAAAAACGAACAAATAGTTATGAAAAGCACACAGGTGATATCTACATTTTCTATGAATACAGTAGACAGGTAGAGCTAATGTATGTACATGTATCACTACAGACAATGTTTGGATAAACCTAAGTAGTAGGATTACTTTTGTTTGTGCTTTGCATTTCTTTCCTCTTGTGTCAGTTGTCTGTCCTCTTTATAAAGACGAGTACCATAGAAGTACCAATAGGTAGCACCTGCGCGGTCTGTTCCTAGTGGCTCTACACGCAGATTGTCACCATCATAGTCCTACAAAAAGTACAAAATATACAACCTCAATTTAAAAAAACAAGAACAGTATTTTTCAAAGGGTGGGATGGAATAGGGTGGATAGAGTAATAGACCTGTGGAATTATGTGTGCCTAGATGACTGCACTTTTAGGGAGTTGTGGTGGGTTTCTGGAGTGCATGGGTGGATGGGAAGCGACATTGGTAATGGAGGGAGGGGAAGGACGTTGAGATGGGTGCCAGGAGTGGATTAGGGCACTACAAGACAGTATACATGTAAACACACCTTTCTGAATTTCAAATGAACAAGTGGAAATTTTTCAGGATTTTACCCACAAAAAACATCAAAAGTTCACTGGGGGTGTTTATGATTCAAGCTTAGGATTCAATTTTTTTTGGACGTTTAAGTCAAAAGAAATCTTAATCACAGCAAATTGAATTTGATGTAATTATAATGTAAAAATGTACCTTAAGAACAGTAACATCTGCAGCATCAAGTCGATAGTCACACAGCGCATGTAGGATTTCTACTTTAGTTAGAGTAGGAAGCATCTTGAAAGTCACATCTTGACTGTTGAGTGGGTTGACCCGCTTCTCTCCCAGTTCCCACTGTTCTTTCATGACAGATCGTAGATATTCTAGGTGATCCTCGGACCTTGTACATATAGATAACAACATACAGGGGCTGTACCATCAATACACAGTAACGTACAGTATTTTATGCATATTTAAACAAAATATCCATTCACACTTACATTGTATATTATCAGAGGTGTTCAAGACCCCCTTATTAAAAATTAGTTTAATAGAAGGGCAATTCCATACTAATGGGCCCAAAAGTGTGACACTTGAGAAGACTTAAGTTTTGATGATAAAACTACGACCTTGGTCTCTCAATTTTTGCTGTACATGTACAATGTACATGTAAACATTGCAAGCTTTGAACAGATATCCTCACCTGCAAACGATATAACTGGTTTTGTATTTTAGAAATATAGTGGAACTGGATATTGTTTTAAAAAGTGTTAACGAAGGACAGACATTTTAGATTAAGTCACGAAGTAAGCATAACATTTAATGATCCCCTAATGTTGACTTATTTAAGAAGATGTACCCTGGAGGAATGCTATCAGTCAAAACCTAGAAAACTCAGAGTCAATGTGAAGAATTATTTGATATTTTATATTCAGGATTTATATGTACGAACAGACTGGACATTTGTCACAAAATGTCTGTCCCAGCTCGTATGTAACCCTTATCACATCATCAATTTGAAGCCAGTGTGAAAACTGTTATATTTTGGTTTGATAACAATGAAAAATGGCTTAATAATGTCACTGAAAATGCCTTTTTAGAAACTGAATTTGTCCTAAGCATACTTTTCCTTGCAGTGTGTCTGTCCAAGTTACATACACAGAAAAGATGCCTGTAATTTTTTCAAATAAAAAAGATATCATCTTTTGTCTTATCTTGTCCTAGTCACTTTGAACTTAGCAAGGTATAGGAAAAAAATGAAGAATACATGTATGTTGTAGCTCATCTTTCACCCTTCTTATGCCATGTATGCAACTTCAATAAAGTTATCTAATTGGCCCATTAGTGTGGAATTGCCCATAACCAAGTTTTCACAGCCGCTATTTGCTGACAGCAGCCTGGTTTTCAGACATGCCAATTAGCTGTGAAAAAAAAAGGACTTTTGCTGTCTTCATAGCTCTCATTGGCTCAGAAGCGGCCATTTATGACTGGTGTTGGTCGCTGAATGCATCAAAGTGCACCAGACTTGCTTGCTCAGTCCCTCACTACACTAATCCCTATATACAACATGTATACCGTAATTTTTGGAAGATAAGCCGCGCAGAGTATATGCCGCAGCACGCAAAAATCTGCAAATTAAGTTTTGAAGTCGGCGTATAAGCCGCACCGGCATATAAGCCGCACCGACTGCAGCGGTTTCAATTTTGTAAGGCCTCCAAATTCTAGTCAAAATGCAAAACCAGTTCCATTTACACTAAAGAAGCTATAAAAAGGGCCACAAAAGTTATATCAAATCATTTACAATCGATACTTTTACAAACAAATATGGAAATTGATGAGAAATAAACACCGGGAATTGCTGCCGGCTGCCCGGTCCGGTCCCCAGTCTTAAAAGTTAGTGCATGGCCCGACAGCCTGCGCCGCGCTGGTGAATGACAACATTTTCCTGCAGCACGTGAGAGAGTATGCAACCCAACGTGTGTTGTCTGACTGGAGCGCTACAAATCTTGCTTTGTGGCAACAGATGCTGATTTGTTTTGTCCAAAGAATAAACAGGTCCGTTTTTATCTCAAAACTTATCAAATTTTTGTGATTACTAACAAGTAGCATCGTTAAAAATTCCAGTTTCGATCATAACTTTCTTCGAAAATAGTCAAAACGATGCTAAAAATTTTATGGACGATTCCATTAATTTCGTAAGGGGGGATGTAGCCCCTGTTTTGAGTTTTACATCGTTTCTTGAATACACTTCAAGAAAAAAATTATATTGTGATGTTGAACAACTAATTATTGAATAAATAAAAAGTTTCAAACACCATAAATATTATTAGTCGTCTTTTTTTCTTTTTTTAAACAGTGGAAACATTGGTAATGATTGTTCCCAAGAAAGTACACCCCTTTATTACCACAAATGGTGTGGTCGGCTAACGCATATGGATATGGGGGGAAAGCATGCTGCATGGCATGCAGCACTTGTATCACGTACGGCGCGGCGTTGAAGATAGACTTGGCCAAGTCTGGGTTGCGCTCGGTCTGTGCCTAAATCATAGAGCTATAGCTCTATGGCCTAAATCCACTCCCAGTGCATATCGCATACGTCCTTATAGTACATAACGCGCGCCCTCATGCGTCAAATCCAGACCATCATGTTAAAAACGCACATGTTATTTTCAAGTGATGCAGCAACCCAGACTTGGTCAATCTGCCAAGATACACGCTGGTTTGTTCCACGTTTGTACACAGTCTGTGGAAATTAGTTTTTGCTGTGATTGGCTTCTACCGATTTCGGTAGAAGCCAATCAATCATATCACAGTATTTCAGGTAATGAGCATTTTTATTCTTAAAAACGCGCGCAGATTGTTTTGATAATATTCCTAACACGCAATCAGCGTTGTCTGCGTATTCGGGCATCCAAAGTTTCGCGGAGAACGCACACGCATCCCATTGTGAGGAGTAGAAACAGATATATGTACACGTACGTTTGAATGCTTTGAAACGGATCTGGGTACGCACAACACGAAGCGGTATCAATGGATCTCAACACCTTTTACAGGTTAACCCCAATAAAATTCCCTTTTGTTTTGAATAACATTTGAATGTCGTATTCTTTATTAATTCAATCCAAGAGCAGCTGATCTTAGCATTATCATCCCAATATAATGTGTTTGAAATCTACAAATTAAGATTACGTTTTTAAACTTTTGCAGATTGTTATCCAGCCTTCCATACCTACTGAAAATAATAAACGAGTCTTCGAAAAACGGTTACTTTGATTGGTCAAGCGATGTTGCTGCATATGCATAGAGATGGTGTTGCATATATGCATTGATGAATACAGGCGCGTGCACGCGAGGGGGGGTGCTGATGGCAGATTGATCAAGTCGGAATTGCTAACTTTTGTACTGGTATGCACATGCTCTGCAATACATGCACACACGTGTACGTGTAATACGCGTGTTGTACAATGTACATACAGTGTGTGCGCATTGTTATACGGCACTGAAGTGGAACGCACGCTGAAGTGTACCTTGTCGGGCATCTGGAAAGGCGTAAACTAAGTGATTTTCGCTACTTTTTAAAGATACCGACTTACATGTAAAGCAATTCCGACTTGAGTCAAGTCTACGTCGAAGACAGCTTTCACCGTACTTTTTACCGCTCAGTACCTTTACGTGGGACGCGGTTTCGGTTTGTTAATGACTTTCTTAATTGATAATTCATTGAGCAACAGATCTCTTTTTATACCAATACATTAAATACACATTTGAATTTCAAAGGTTCAAGGCTCAGTGTATAAGCCGCCATGTGTATAAGCCGCACTAAACATTTTCATGGGTAAAATCGACGTAAAAGCTGTGGCTTACATTCCGAAAATTACGGTAATAGAGATCCGTGCTTACTAATGCTAGAAGAAAGACCTTGTGTTGCTTTGTGGATAGCTCCATGGTAATGCGCATGCGCAGTTGTCATACATCGCCAAAAATGAATGATTTTGAAGTGTTTGTTCGGAGTTTGCTAATGCTGGCCAACAATGTGGTCAACACCACTGAAAAAATCATTTCATGACGAACAAAATACTCTATACCTTCAGTATGAAAGTTTATGAAATTTCCCAAGATATCACATTTCATAAAGGATGATTGAAAATTAAAATTTCTGAAAAGGCATGATAACATATTGGGAAAAAAATAAATAAATTCATCTTCAAATTACAGGAACAGATAGCGACTTTCAAGGACTAACAACTGCACACAGATAACTTGAATTTATAACTCACATCTAACAACTGCGCATTTGTTAAAACCTGTCTTGCCGTAATATATATTTTTCAAAAAATAGCAACGACGTGACATGACATAACAGTATAATGCAGCATATAGGGAGGTTGTTAGTTACCAACTAAAAAGACGGTGACGATCATCGTGTTCAAAGCCCGCTTGCATTCACATTTTGAAAGGTCCAGGCTTGCGGTCACAGTGCTATAGGGCGATTCCAAGCAAACACAGACATGACCCCAAAAAATTGAAATTCATTCCTGAGCTTGTTTTTTACTTTTAAGTTATTGCTAACACATGTAAGGATCAGGATATAAACTTTTTTCGCCAATCCTTCATCATTTTCTGTGAAAAAAATTCAGATTACTAAAGTTGTTCTTTGGTTGGAAAATATCAGCCTTTCAATATTCAAATGTCAAATGGTTGATTATTTTCACACAATACTAGCCTAACTATATTTTACTTTGATACTTTGACTTCAGATCTTCTCAAAACATTAACAAATTTTGGACCATAGCTCCTTGTATAGCAGTGTGGATGCAAGTTTGTTGCATTGGTTTGGGTGTGTAATGCGAGTAACCAAAAGATCAAGTTTTTGATATTGCTGCTGAATGATATTTGCCATTTCATATTTTGCTTCTTCCTTTAGTAACAACTATTGAATTGATAAAAGAAATGAAAATGATACCAAGCATGATGTTATCAGGAGGTGTTAAAAATTGAAAGGCGAGTAACCGGTAATATGAGTAATCACTGGAATGCGAGTAACCATATAACTTTCCATGATGATAATGAATAAAAACTATGACTTTTGATTTCTGATTTACTGGGTTTTTTTATAAGAAGAAATAATGTAAGTCCCTTGAAAATGTAAATTGATGCAGACTAGGATTTGTGGTACACATGTCTGAACAGTATTAGAATTCATAAGGCCTACAATGTACATCAGAAGTTTCTCACAAGTTGCATAAAATCACATTGTGTACAGTCACTCTAATGTTGATGTACAAACAGTTATAGAGCAAATTTGAGAGTTGATGAGGGAATGTTATCAGTAAATATATGCATAAATGACATTTTTAGAGTTATTATATTGTCATGTACATGTACAGTATCGTTCAGCATGTTCAATGGGCCTGTGCTGGGCACCATCAAACTTTTCTAACAAACTAAAATTAAGATTGAGTGGTAATCTTTTAATTATACTGATACTTAAAGAATGTATTAATTGATTTAATTGTATAGCCTAGCCATTTGTTTGTTTGATAAAATGATTTAGGTTGAATTAGACCTTTCCTGATTAAGATTTGATTTTGTTTCCAACCAAATGAACCAAATTGTAATGCGAGTAACCATAATGCGAGTAACCAAAATCCTTCTTTGGTTATCTTTTACTCCTTTACATTTTGTTGGTTTTATTTTGGTTTCAGTCCATACGTTTAGGGTTGTGCAACTCCATGCAGTTAAAATCTGATCAAAATTGTGGGGGTAAAATTTGTATTTAACCCCAGCCAAAGTGTCAGACAAACTGTAATGTGAGTAACTGTAATGCGAGTAACCAACCTTTCTCGCTGTATAATTTATATCTGATTTGGGTCTTCATTTAACCATTTAAGTTAAGTACTATGGTAGGCGTCCTGTAAATATATTAATTTGGTCATTGCACTTTCAGTTTAAGCAGACAGGGGAATCAAAACAGAGCCAATTTTTGACATGTCCTTTTTGTGTAATGCGAGTAACCGTTTTTTTTAGAAGAGTGCCATGATCTTGTCATGGTACGAACATACTTTTTTGCCATCAGGGTGAAGCCTTGAATATAGGTATATTTATGCAGCATAAGAGATAGATAGTCAGACTACTGCTAAAACCACAGCAATCGGAACACGAAAGGGTGCAAAAATGGTAATGCGAGTAACCGTGGAATCGCCCTATAGCTATGGACATTCCCGAGGGATTGGAATGTTAATGGTCAAAATGTAAGTCACCCAGACTCCGTTCATATGTCCATGCCAATACTATATTTGGAAATTTGAGATTTTTAAAAATTTATGCAAAACACTTTTGGCAAAAAAGTATTATCAGTGGGAAGTTATCTTTTGAACATATTTTGATTCAAAGCAGGGTACAACAAAGCACAAGGGAAATCAGTTTCAACACCATATATGTTTATTTATGCTTGGTCTTGGTCTCGGTCTCAGAAGTCTTGGTCTCTGTCTCGGTCTTCAAAAGTCTCGGTCTCGGAAGTCCTGGTCTCCGTTTCGAAAGAGCTGGTCTTGGTCTTGGTCTGGAATACCTCAGTCTTGGTCTCGGTCTCAGGAAATGGAGGTATCGACTACAACACTGTGCTGCACACTTACAAACTATCTTGGGATACTGTTTAGCTTCAGCACAAAGCACTGTGCAAATTTATGAAGCGTTTGCTGACTAGTGGTACAACTACAACACACGGTGTGCATGTACAATGTTGTGTTTATCAAGTCTATGGTATGTATGCACTTGCAATAAGCTTTTCATTCCATAACATCATATACATGTACTGGTACACTGCATTCTGTGAGCGTAGGGTGCATGTATACATGGTGTAGGGCCCACGTGCCTCACGACAGAACTGTAACCTCTCAATCTCATGTCTGGCAGGAAATCACTGTCATACCATAAAGAGCAAGGTGTATGTGTGGCTATTGTTTTAGGATTTAGTTGTTTGGTAATATCAAAAATAAAAGTATAACAGTTATCAATAAGTCATGTTTTTAGATCATTCCATTTACTCATATCATGTACAAAATATGCAAAAGGAAAAGAGGAAAGTAAAATATAACCAAAGAAGTTTTAAGTTTCCGATGTGTCTCAATTTAGATTAAATGCCAGCAAAGCAAGTTTTAAAACTGAAAACAATATTACCTCATAAAATGAGAGTAAAATCCTGATTGTAAATGCAGTGATGTGATGGGTTTGTTTTCTTTTTTTAATTACACTTTTTGAATAATACTTACACACCATCATTTTTCAATGAGCTACTGAACTTGGAGGATCAGAATCATTTTCCTACTGGCCCTGTTGACTACCACTAAATCACAGTCAAACCCATCGGCAGGCATGTAACTTTTTATTTTAAGGCCTAAAAATATTTGCACAAGTTTTGGGTACAAGTGTCATTGTTAGGTTTCCAAAAAATTCCCCTACCCATCCACTGTTTTCACTGAACATTCGGCTTGGATTGTCCATTGTTTTTTTTTCAACATGTATATGATGTACCAAGTCTCAGAGTGTCAAGTATGAATGCTACAACTAACATGAATGTACATGTACATGTACAAGGAAGATAGTCAACTGACTTAGTCCAAACAGTCCCTTTTCACTTACCTCATGCTTTTAATTCCATGTATGCCGCGAAGAAGTTGTACGACCAGATTGACGATAAAGTCGCTTTCCTCCACCCCTGCATCCAGGAAAAGGGCTTCCTCTAATTCCTAAGAAACAAAAGGCCCAAAGGGTTTATAATACAAAATGAAGACATGTTTCACTTCATTAACATACATACTGTACATACATACACGTAAACCTCTTTTCCTGGCTTTCAGCAACATATTTTAAATTTTTACTGTAAAGTCACCATGGCCGAGGACAACTGCCTTTTAAGCTAAGGTTAAAATAGTTGATTCTCCATTAGTTTTTACTTGCGTCTGTCTTAAACCACCAGTTTACAAAGGTTTTCGTCTGTATAATGTATTTGTTCAGCATGTTTTGTCCTCTATTGTGCCATGCCCATCCACACAGTTGTAATGCCCTAACTATAGTTGGGCCAGTCCAACTGCAACACTTTAGTTGGGATTGTTGGGGCATAACATCTCTACTGATATCTGAGAGTTTGGGTGTGAAATCTGATGGTTTTGGTAGGCAACATTTTTTGCCTCACCAATCATGAATCGTCCATACAAATATTGTACAATGTACACAAGGTACATGTACATTGTATTTTCCTTGAAATGGTACAGTGTGTATTGCTTTCTAAAATATTCTTACGTGTACCATATGTATGTGAGATATATACATGTAACACTAACATGTATGAACATTGGAGGATTCAGGACTATTCAGGATTAATAAATAAACATGCAAATGTGATAATAAAACTTGTACCGTAATAAAAAAGAAATAACAGCGTTGCTGTTGAAACCCCTCAGCCAGAGTCAACTTATCATTCGGAAACCATTAACCTTTAACTCAACATGGTGACCTTGACCTTTGACCCCAGAACCAGTCCCAACATGCCTGTACCAATGGGAAACCCCCTACCAAACTTAGACACCAAAATTTCATTTCTAACTCAAGTTATCATCCAGAAACCATTTACCTTAAACTGACCACAGTGACCTTAACCTTTGACCTTTTGACCCCAAAACCAATCCCAACTTGCCTGTACCTAGGGGCAACCCCCTACCTAAGTCAGGCACCAAAATCTCATTTCCAACTAAAGTTATCATCCGGAAACCATTTACCTTTAACTCACCACGGTGACCTTGACCTTTGACCTTTTGACCCCAAAACCAATCCCAACTTGCCTTCTCCCAAGGGCAGCCCCCTACCAAAGTTAGACAGCAAAATCTCATTTCTAACTCAAGTTATCATCCGGAAACCATTTACCTTTAACTCACCACGGTGACCTTGACCTTTGACCCCAAAACCAATCCTGACTTGCCTACTCCCAAGGGCAACCCCCTACCGAAGTTACAACCCCAAACAACATTTGTAACTCAAGTTATCATCCGGAAACTAAGCTGCCCGGACAGACGGACGCCCTAGGCGATGACAATACCCCTCGAGCCTCTCGGCTGAGGGGTAAAAAGTAATCAAACTGACTGACAATGGGACCACAGGCATGACAGGGCAAGGGACTCTCCACGCAATATTGGAGCGATCCTTGTCAATGATATGAGTGCGTCAAGCTGATTACCGAACACTACTGCTTGAAAGTCACCTCTGTTTTTAGGGCGACATTAGGTTTGTGCGCATGTCTGTGCTTTAGCTCGTATAAAAACCCCTCTTGTGGCCGAATTGTATCCAGTCTCGCTTTGCGTAAAAACAGCTCACCGGAGGACGTCTTTTCAATCACTTTTTTATATTACAAATAAGTTTTTGATATGCGAGATACATGTACAACAATAAATCGACAGAAATAGGACTATACTTTTTTTATCACATACCGGTAGGGCTGTGAATTTTTCGGCAAGACACTTGATGAGAAAACACCTCCGAAAAAAATACCTTTGATTCAACGTTTATCAGTGTGTCAATCGAAATGAAAATAACGTTCACGTTTCTTGGGATTTTTCACCATCTTGGAAAGTTTACTCCGAATCAAGAGAACTACCTGTACATGTACCATTGGAAAGACTAATTAAAGGAGAATACCACTGTGGAAGACTTATGAGAGAAAACCCCGAAGGAAGCACATACAAAGCTATTTAATACATACACTGAATGTAAACAAACGGCGCCATTTGTGCACAAATCCAAATAGCAGGCACACTACGCGTATGCCTGTCCCTGTGAAATGTATACATGCAGGGCACGGGCCAATCACGCGTCGGCGTGGTAGGCCTACTTGTTTGAATTGCAAACCCAGCTTGTTCAACTTGTTCGCGTTCACATTTTGAGTGGATCCAGTGCTTCATGATTGACTGCTAATAAAGGCTAAATGATTTTTGATGTTTCCTATATAGGCCTATATGGTGATGAAAATGGTAAATTTTGGCCGTTAAAATTTAAACCTGCATCTACATGTAGGCTGATGTAGCTCAGGTATAATTCACCCAAACTCCAATTGGCAAATTTTTAATGTCATTTTTTTTTTAAAGTGGGCCCAAAACACGGGGGAGGTGGGGTGTCATACCCCTTCACTAGTCAGTTTTGTCAGCCAAATCGTGGTGCTGTCGGCAAAATAGGAGAAAATGGAGAATGTAAATATTAAACACAGCTGCTCAAAACCCATGCATTTCAGTGAAACACTGTGCTCAGTGTCAGCTGTATTCCTCAGAACCCAGCCTGAGGAAAAGTAAAGCACAGCGGATACATGAGCATGTGACTGTAACCATTGCTCTACATGCTGTAAAGTGCTCAATCATCCGCTGAATCCGCCCGGAGAAGTTAGAAAGAGAAGGAAAACAACCGAGAATCTGTTCATAGTCAAATATACACTGGTTGCCTTCTGTTTCTGAGAAATCTGACCCTCTAATTGTGGGTGCTTCTAAAGGAAAGTTTTTCCAAAGAAAAAAAAGGGGCTAGGAGACTGGAATTGGAAAGAATGTAGTATCCTGACGCCACTTCCGTGGTTGTATACAAAGTCTATGGAGAGTTGATTGCATTTTCAAAGTGTTTTCTAACAAAACTGGAAATCAAATTAGGTTTTGCCCTTCACCAACGTTTAAACACTGTATACTCATTGTGTTACCTCCCGAGTGATTTTCTGCTCCCCTGGCAAAGGGACCTTCCACGCACTCGAGTATGTAGGTTTTGTGGCTGATAATATGGAGGTAGTCCAGTATTTCAGCCACATTTATGGGGCTATCTCATGAGATACATGTACAATGTACATGTAGGTGTACACGCTATTCACGCGGCTACAGGTCTTGCACAAACGATGATGGTTACTGAATACTTTAACCCTTACTCTCTGAGGGTAGTTTACTGCATGTCAGTTGGTTATGCCAATGCCCTCCAGCTGCAGTTTATTGGAGGATACTTCTATGTAGCAGTGAAGGCTCCAATTGGCAGGAGTTGGAGGCCCTGGAGGGTGCCTGATACTGACCAGCTGGGGGCACTCACTTTGTTATCAGAGGACTCTCATTGTTCTCTGTGGCATGTATTGGAATGCCTGTCCAGTTACCCTTGAAATGACATGGCAGATATTGGAGGGCCATGCAAAAAACATAGGAGATTTTCTTGAGGCACATATTGGCATGCATTGGAGGGTCAAGTAGGGTAAGGGTTAATGTACGTTTACTCGTTACACCAGGTTGGACGACGTCTTCATTGCATTACAACTGTCATCCAGGGTATTAATTCTACTACCAAAGCGAAAAAATTAAAACACATTTTTGTCATATTTTTACCTGATGCAGGAAGCTGAAATTTCGTTTACATCTTTTTGTCTCCAGAATAATGCAAACACTTGGTTTAACCCTTACCCTACTAGACCCTCCAACGCATGCCAATATGTGCCTCAAGAAAATCTCCTATGTTTTTTGCATGGCCCTCCAATATCTGCCATGTCATTTCAAGGGTAACTGGACAGGCACTCCAATACATGCCACAGAGAACAATGAGAGTCCTCTGATAACAAAGTGAGTGCCCCCAGCTGGTCAGTATCAGGCACCCTCCAGGGCCTCCAACTCCTGCCAATTGGAGCCTTCACAGTCAAGATAGTTTATCCTCCAATTAACTTCAGCTGGAGGGCATTGGCATAACCAACTGACATGCAGTAAACTACCCTCAGAGAGTAAGGGTTAAAAAACGTAAATATATCAATGGGCGATGTGTTTACCGAAAATTAACCGCAGATCACGCTTTCGTCTAAAACATTCTCAGTACGAACTCCCCGTTTGAAGACTTATGAGCATGTGCAACGCAGTTTAGGCCTTCTATGCAACGTGTATGCAGGCTGTGCATGCACGTGCGTTCTTATGCATTTGTAGTCTTCACACGACATGTTCGTGCTCAGGACATACATGCACTCACGTATTATGCACCAAAAAATCACTGGTGGATTTGGTCCTGATTTTTGCAAAAAATGATAAATACGCATTTCGTACTGAGCAACATGGAGAAGTTACACTTTCATGAAGATCGCTTGCGATTGACTTGCGCGCTTGCGCACACGGGTAGCATCAGATGGGCCAATCACAGTTAGTCTGGTTCCCTGACTCCATTGTCCTTTGGACTTCAAATATGGGGAAACAGTCTAAATCACAGTGCGCTCTGATTGGGCACCATCGAGGCACCCAATCAGGGAGCACTGTGATTGGCCCATCTGATGCTAGCCATGCGCGCACACGCACAAGTCAATCGTAAACGATCTTAATGAACGTATAACTTTTCCATGTTGCTCAGTACGGAACGCGGATTTTTTTCATTATTTTTTGCAAAGATCAGGACTGAATCCACCCATGATTTTTCGGTGCATAATACTTGAGTATGTCAAGAAGGGATTACAGGCAACTCGACCGTTTGCCATCTCGACCGTTGTACCAACTCGACTGTTGACCCAACTCGTCCGTTGACCAACTCGACTTCACTTTCGAACCAACTCGACCGTCGTACCAACTCGACCGTTGACCCAACTCGTCCGTTGACCAACTCGACTTCACTTTCGAACCAACTCGACCGTCGTACCAACTCGACTGTTGACCCAACTCGTCCGTTGACCAACTCGACTTCACTTTCGAACCAACTCGACCGTCGTACCAACTCG